ACGCACACACAGACATACATACACACATACACGGCCTTGCTGAGCCTGTCTGTCTGTCTGCCTGTCTGCCTGTTCAAGCGAAGGAGCGAGCCGACCAGCCGATCGAGGTCATGATATTCAGGTGGGGTGTGATGAAATGAAATGGAATGGAAGCACGCAGACACATAGTAGTGTGTGTATGTCGGTAGGACATCGATCATTCTTCCTTCCCTTCCGCTTTGGTTGGAAACTAAAACCACTTCCTTCCCCCGTCCCGCCTCCATGTGTGTGTGTGTGTTCGTGCGTGTGTGTGTGTGTGTCAATCCATCCATCCATCCATAGAGACAAAAGGAAATAAACAAAAGGACGGAAGCATGAAATGAATGGCGACACGTGAGAGCGAAACACGACGACGGCACACATACACACATACACACATACACACACACATACGTACGTAAAACGGTGAGGCACACACGAGAAAGTCGATGGATGCGTGAGGGAGTGAGAAGGGCGGGCAAGTTGTGTTGTCTGGTGGGGTGGTGGTAGTGGAGGAAGAGACGAGCATCTTTGGTCCATCTAGCAGCAGCAGCGATTTACTGAGAGCTTTTCGGCTCAGCGGCCACACAGAGACAGACAGACAGAGAGACAGAGAGACAGAGAGACAGACAGACAGACAGACAGGCGCAGGCAGACAGACAGAGACAGCCGTTCGGCTCCCACCCCCCGTCCCTGCTTGTCACAAATCATTCGTATGGAAGGAGAGAGAGTACGAGAGAGAGCACGAGTTATGTATGCAGCCATCCAATCCATCCATCTGTGCTCCGTTCAACAGCAGGGAGGCAGGCAGGCAGGGCTCTCAATTCGTGTGAGCCGGCAGCCCATCCACACAAACATCCACACAGCAGCCAGCCACAAGAGATGGATGGATGGATGGATGGATAGATGGATAGCTATAAAAACACCACCGAGCAAAGCGCAGCACAGCAGAGCACAGAACAGCACAGCACAGCAGAGTGAGCAGCAAGCGCCCCCTCCAAACCTTTCCTTTCCTCTCTCTCTCTCTCTTTCTCTCGTTGGCAGGGTACTACTCTGTGTGTGTGCTGTCTGTCTGCCTGCCTATGCGCCCTCCCTCCTCCCTCAAGATATCCATCCCCGCAATGCAATCAATCAATGTCCTCCTCCTTTGATTTGTCTTCTTCTCAGAGAGCTTAACACACATAAGTTTGTTTTTTGTGAGCCTTCTTGGCTCATGTATGTGTGTGTGTGTGTTGTTTCTTCTACCTACTACCCCTCAGGCTGCCTGCCTGCCAGTTGTATCACTGTCAGTCAGCACAGTGCCATCCATGCCACCACACATACACACACATACACACACGCACAGAGCTCACTAAAACAGAACAAAGGCTCTCTTAACATCATCATCTTTCAGGTCATGTGACACGCACTTGTATGAAGCACTAACCGCCCACACACACGGACACGATCACCATAGGGCAGGAGCCACACGCACATCCATCCATCCATCCCTCTCTGTCTGTCTGTCTGTCGTCTCATAGAGCCCCCTCTTTAAAACACTGCCTACCTGCCTGCCTGCCGTCCATCCATCCATCCATCCATCCCTCACACACACACATACATACACACACATATACACACACGGCACACACACATAGCAGCAGCATTGTGTGCCCTCGAATGAAGGAAGGCTCAGCAGGGGGCAGAAAGAGAGAGATGAAAACCCCTGATTATATCAGATCTGATCAACCACACCACCCACCCTCTCACACACACGCACCCACTCAAGGGAGACAGATTATTAATGCGATTGGTGTCACCCCCCACCACTCATCAGCCATTCATCCCACCCACACCGGCCAGCCAGCCAGCCAGAGTGGGTCAATTCGTCTGTCTGCTTGTCCGTGTGTGTGTGCGCCCTTATCACATCGAAAACAGGGCAGCTACTCTACATCTATCTATCGCAATATCGTTCTTACTGGTTGCTGGGGTGGAGGGAGGGAGGGGGGGGGGGATGCAACACACAGCAGCTAGGGACTCGGAAGCACTAAGATATGCGCCATAATAAAGGAGACACGGCCAGCAGACAGACAGACAGCGTATGAATCAACCCACAGCCGCCCATTTTTTTGAATTGCCCTCCATCCATCCATCCATCCATCCATCTATCTCGCGTCCCACCACTTGCACCCCATGTGTGGGTGGTGAATTCCCCCCTCCCTCCAAGCCCACCTCTCTCTCTCCATCTCCATCTCTCGCTCGAGCGATAGTATCCCTCTCCCCTTCCCTCCCTCCCAATCGTTCGTCCAGCAGTCAGCCAATCACTACGCAAAAACCCATCCGCCCCACCACCCGTCACACATCACACACATTATGCACCCAAAACCCATAGACCGACCGACCGACCGACCGAACGACTGACCACATGACATGACAACGCATAAACAACACCATCGCCACCATCACAAGCCCGAATGCTTATTGATTTGATGTATCTCTCTCTCTCTATCTATCTGTCTGAGTGTAGGTCAATGTGTGTGTGCGTGTTGTTTATGTCCGTGTGGCGCCGCCCTGCATGAGGCGGTGGAAGTGCTCGAATGGCAGGCTGAGCGGCCGGTCGCCGGACACGGGCATCCCCACACACACCATGGCCTGAAGCCCATACACACCCCATAGACACACACACACACACACACACGGGCATCCGCACGAGCATGCCCATGTGTGTGTGTCGGTGCCAAGGGAACGTACCTCTTTGACAACGTTCTCGACAGTGTGTGTGCCGCGGGAGTCCTCCACCCCCTTGTAGCCCACACCGATGGCCAGCCGGAGGTCCTCACTGCCACCAAATGGCACCAAGCCCATCCCATCAACACACACACAAAGCCATGAGAAGCGCATCCGTGTGATGTGTGATGTGTGGCGTACGGTGTGATGAGGCCGTCCCTGTCGAAGTCGAAGAACCGAAACACGCCCCGACACACGCCTTCCTGCGCGTAGAGCTCAGAGCCGATGGTCGCGCCAAGGAATTCGGTGAAATCTGCAAACACGACAAGAGCCAGGCGAACACTCTGTGGATGGACGGACGGATGGATGTGGTCGCTCGCTCCCTCACCGATGCGCAGGTTGCCGTCTGTGTCGATGTCCTCGATCAGTTCGTCCAGTTCCAGTTCCAGCTGCAGCTCTATGTCCATCTCACAGTCGCCCGCCGCCTCATCCCCAACAACACCACAACCACAACCACAACCGCCACGCACACCCATCCCGCCGCCTCCACACATGTGTGCGTAGGTGTGTGCGTGTGGTTGTGGGTTTGCGCCCTCCGTCACATCCATCCAGATGTCGCAGCCGCCGTCGCTCTCGTCCATCCCGCTCAGCACCGGGGGCGACGCCGCCCATGCCGGCGGGTCGCTGGGCGCCAGATATGGCGAGGCGGGCGGCGCGCGACGCGTGACCACCTGCTGCTGCTGCTGCTGCTGTTTCGGCGTCACATACGGGTACTTGAACGGTGCTGTTGTGGGTGCCGGTGACGCAGAGGCACTGGCACTACTGGGGGCGCTCTCATGGTGGGGGTGGGGGTGGGTGTGGGAGTGGGGGTGTTTGCCGATCTGCGTGTCGACGCGGAGAGAGAAGGGTCGGTTCTCGAGCGAGAAGCGTCGCGCGGCGAGGCCGCCGCTGGCCGGAAGGGATGTGGGCGGCAACGGCGCGGGTGGGGTGGCTCGTGAGACGCCTCGCTTCTGCAGGGAGGGGCGGCTGCGGTGGTGGTATGTGCAGGGGGAGGGGGCTGAGGGGGCGGGGAGGGTGGGAGTGGCGTTGCTGAAGGGCTGCGATGGCGGCGGGAGCAAGGTGCGCTTGAATTCCTGCCAGACAGACAGACAGACAGACAGCCAGACGGGCGAAGGTTGTGGTCGGGTAGAGCTCTGTGTAAGCGTGTGTGTGTGTGTGTCTTGCCTCGATGGAGAGGGTGCCGTCTCCATCATGGTCCATCAGAGTGAAGATCTGATGCAGGCCCTCCACCTCCCAATGAGCCACCTGACACGCGCACCCCACCCATACACACACACATATGCATAGAGTCATGCCACCCATCCTCCTCTCACTTGGTAGGCCGCAGCGACGAGCGCCAGCCGCTTGAGTATGCCGAAGCCCCTGTACTCGCGAAACCGCTGCCACAGACGGTCGACAGTCGACGGTGGCAGAGGGACGGCCGGCCGCAGGTGGTGCGACACACCGATGGACAACGGGGCGGAGTCCTGCAGAATCCACCTGAGAGAGGGGGAAAGGGGAGAAGGGAAGCCAAGAAACAAACAGCCCATGAGGCCGCGAAGCCGTCCGTGGTGTGTGTGTGGAGGGAGATGGGCAGGGAGCGTACGGGTGCTGGAGGGCCTTTCTGGCGGTGACGCGTTTCTTGGGGTCGAAGGTGAGGAGCCTCTGGATGAGGTCTTTGGCCGACTCGGAGATGTGCCGCCAGAAGCGGGGGTCGAAGTCAAACCGACCCGACTTGACCTTCTTGAGAATCTCGTGGTTGTCCGTACCATCTGCACACACACACACACACACACACACCCACATGCTCACTTGGTGGGTGTGATGTGTGATGTGTGTGTGTGTGGTTACGGAATGGTGGGTAGCCGGAAAGGAGTATGTAGAGGATGACCCCAGCGCTCCAGAGGTCACATGACTTGTCGTATTTGCCCGCGAGCACCTGTGGGGCGACGTAGTAGGGCGTGCCGACGGTGGAGGAGAAACCGTGGTCCTTCGGACACATCGTCGAGAAACCCCAGTCTGACATACCCATACACAAACACACACATCCATCCATCCATCCATCGATGCCGCCGTGTACACACACACACACAGGTGTGTGAGTGGCCGGCCGTGTGTGCCTACCGATGATTTTGAGAGGGGCTCTGGTGGCCTCGGTCGAGAAGAGGAGATTCTCGGGCTTCAAATCCCTGCAGACAGACAGACAGATAGCACCAGCAGATGTGACTGACGTGCGTCGATGTGTGTGTATATCATGGGGGTAGAGGGTGTACCTGTGTACGATACCCCGATCGTGGCAGTAGACGAGTGCCGAGAGGAGCTGGCGCATGAGGAGGCACGCGGCGTCCTCCTTGAGGTGGCCTTTGGCGATGATGTTTTCAAATAGTTCGCCACCCGTGCACAGCTCCATGACCAAAAAGATTTGCTTGTCGTCCTCATACACCTCCAGCAACTTACTGCACACACCACACCACACCACACCACACCACACACCAAACCAACCAGCCACACGAGGTGATGCACACAACGCTTGGCCATCCGGTTCCCTTTTCGGGTCAGGCAGGTTCATACATTATGTTAGGGTGGTCCATCTTCTTCATGATAGCTATTTCCCTCTTGAGGCGGACGGGGTTCTCGATACGCGCCTTGTTGAGGATCTTCACCGCTCGCCACGCACCCGTCCGGCGGTCCTGCGCGCGACACACTGCACAGCACAGCACAGCAATGAACAGCAGACGATACACACACAGTGTGTGGGCCGGTGACTGGGTGGGCGAGTGAGAGTGGGTGGATGGTGAGCACCTACCGTATCCGTAGCTCCCTTTGCCGAGCGGCTCCGACTTGATGTCAAAGTAGCCTTCGATCTTCTGACCATCTGCACGCATGAACACACCCAAACCAAGCAGCCGAACAGACCCTCACCCACACACAGTTTCCCTCCCTCACCGAGCAGCGCCTCCTCGAGCACCAGTGCCGCCCGTGTCATTTTGGTCCGCCCATTGTCGGCCGAACACTCCGACAGGTCACCCCACCTCCCTCCGCTCCCACACCCACTCCCCCCGCCCCCCGCCCCGCTAGGCGTCTGGGAGATGCTCATTGACCGCCTCGACGCGCTGCCCCTGGTCGATATCGACGTGCTGGTCGACGACCCATTGCACGGCGCGGGGAATGCCGCGTTCTGCGCGTTGCGGTTGGTCCCGGAGGAGCCTTGCGGCGATGGGCAGACGACCATGAGCGACTCGCTCTCGCGCCGGTTTGCGATTGGGAGGCGGAGCCGCACCTGACTGCTGTTCTTGTGTGAGGGGGAGGTGGAGGGGAGGGCGTCGAAGACGGGCGGGGGCAGCGGCGTGGTGGGCGTGTCCAGGTCCAGGTCGTTGTTGGACACCGACACACCGCCATCACCCATACCGATGCCGCCGTGGCCCTTCAGACGCAGCGCGCCCCATCTTTCGTCCAGCTGCGTCGCGGAGCTGTCAGAACGCTCGAAGTCCACACGGGCGGGGGCGGATGGCGTGCTGAGGACAGGCGACGAGATGTCCGAGCAGCACGAGCAGAGCGACACATAGGCGGGCGGGTTGGGTAGCGGACTTGCTGCCGATGAGGTGGGAGGGGAGGCGGACGCCTGCCCGTGGCAGGCAGGCTTGGCGCGAGTCGGCTGGCGCTCTTGCTCTATCAGCCAGCGGCCCTCCATCATAATAATGTGCGCTGAGGGAGAGAGGGAAGAAGGGAGCTCACGACGGCTGCCTTTGCGAGGGGGGGAAACAGGGGCGCAAAACCCCTCAGCAAGAGGACAGACGTCAGCAGAGGGGAGATGTCAGCATAGAGTAGAGAGAGAAAGTCACAGAGAGGGAGGGAGGGGGGCTGCCAGTGAGCCGAGCCGCTTGTCGGTGTTGTTGGGCTGGGTGTAGGGCTTCAGTGAGCGATTGCGCTCACATGGTCATGACAGTTGAGGTCGGTTGCGGCCGGCGGCGGAGAGAGGACAGACGCGGCTATTAATTGTGAGATGACGGGAATAGTGCGCCTGCTAGAGCAACAGAGTCGGGTCGTACTGCTATTTTACCAGCTCAAGAGAGAGGATGTCCATGGCATCCCTGGTCACTCTGCTGTTCCTGCTGCTGCGGTGGTCGTCGACAGCCACTGCACAGAGGGGAGGACACCGGTGAGTGGCCTGGGTGGAGCGACTGGGGGGACTGTGGGTGATGGGTCTGTGTGTTCTCGCGCAGGGGGTCATCACGCATGTGGCCAAGATCCTCAGCGGCGGCACAGGTCTTAACTTCGGTAGGTCGCACGGCAAATGACGACAACGGCCGACTCCCTCCGTCCCTCCCTCCCGCCGTCCCGGGATGTGTTTGCGTGCAGGCATTTCGATTGACGAGCTCAAGGACTACTTTGATTTCTTGAAGGCCGATTATGGCGTCGAGTGGGAGTTTGATCTCTTCCGCGAGGCATACGATTGGGTGAAGGAGAGAGTCAGCCAGCCGGCTTATCTCACCGAAGAGTACGGCGCGGCCATCACCAGGTGGACACGTACACACACGCACACACGCACACGTGCGCAGAAATGGCCTGAGCCACCTGTGCGGTGTGTGCAGGGGTGTGAGCCAGGTGTACGAGCCCTTCAATGGGGACAGTTCTGAGCTCAAGGACGGCAGCTGGCGCGGCTTCACGATCTTCGACAACGACGGCCCGTCCAACGACAGGGTCCGCAAGGCCGCCGACAGCTTCTGTCTGGATGACAAGCCGGAGACCCTCACCATACTCGTCAACCATCTCGTGGAGAAGATCGCCTTCACGGAGACCGAGCCGCTCACCGCCACACCTGCGTCGTGTACCGAGAGGAGGATGGAGGCCTCTTCTCCGGCGAGGAGCAGATCGCCTGTGTCAAGGAGGGCGGGCGCATCTCCATGTCTCTGGGGGCCGTCTATACGCCATACATCCTCTGGAAATCGGACATCGGTCCAGCGGCTTTGGTGGAAGCGGTCGGCGCGACGCTGCTAAAGGAGATCCCCGAGGTCGGCCAGAACTACCACGACCGCTTGTTCACGCCTGTGGGGTGCTTCTTCAAGAAGGAGATGGCGGGGGAGCCGGTGAGGTCGCTGCCTGCGGAGGTGCCGCCCACGACCACAGTGGGGACGGTGTGTCAGACCATCGGCTGGCACAAGACCGGCACTTCATGCGACGGATTTGACGATTGAGTGCACCGCAGCCGACACACAAGAGGGAGAGGGAGGAAGCGACGTCCACACGCGTGTTCCGTGTGCGTGTGTGTGGAGGTTCCGCGACTTCACTGATAAGGTGAAGGATTGTCGGCTGTCGACCCTTGAGGAGATTTCGGGGGCCAATTCGCCCTACGGTGCGACGCTGGGCACTCTGTTCATCATCCCACCGTCTTTCAGGAGCAACAAGTCAGCCATCCATACAAAGCTCAACACAAACACTCACCCACCATGAGTGTCTGTGTGTGTGGCTGTGCGCCTGTCAGGGTGTTGCTGCTCGTGCGTGACATTTTCTTGTCTTGCGTCGAGGACAGCCCGCCCGGCTTCGTCGCCCTCCTCTGCAACCTGCCTCTCGTTCGCGGCTACGTCGAGGATGCCGTCGACTGCCTAAAGTCAGTCGATGCACCACCCACCACACACACACATGTGAATGAAGAGAAAGTGTGTGTGTGTGTGCAGGCGTGTGGCGGCCCCGTTCACCTTCTCGTCATCGTGCGGTCCAGGGGCGAAATCACGATTAAGGATGGTAACCAGATCACAACACACATTCTGATGCCTCGGGTGTAGGTGCCTGTGTGTGTCTGTCCGTGTGTCTTTTTCTGTATGTGCAGGCAAGCCGTTCTTGATTCCCAACTACTACCAGGATGAGTATGACAGAATGGACTCGGAGCAGGGCATCTGAGACATCCTCAAGGTACGGTGGGAGGAGAGCCACACACGCAGACGCCGATCACGTGTGCGCCTGGCACCCACCGCCACGTGATGTGCAGATTTTGGACCAGGGCGGCTTCGATGGCATCCTTGAGGAGTACGGCAAGGACAGCTGCACGGGCACCATCCTGTCGGTCTTCAAGTTCCTGCTCGAGGAGCCCGACATCATCGATGCCGCGCGGGAGAACAACCCTACCATCTCCGTCCAGCAAATGGTCAGCTCAACGACCTGCGACAATCACATGTGTGTTTGTGTGTGGAGGGGTGTGGATGGTGTCTTTGTTTGTTGTCAGGATGAGGAGGTTGCTGCCATACAGGGGTACATCAGCGCTGAGGACGCCCGCTTTATCGCCGGCGTCAACGCGACACTCGCAGCCAAGGAGGAGGCACAGACACGCCGGATGCGGACCAACAGCACCGACAACTCCACTGGCCCTCAGCAAAGAGAGCTTCTACCTTTGCCCGATCCTCTGCCGATCGTTCCACGCGGTGAGGGAAACGAGAGACACCTGTCTGTGCGTATGTGTCTGTGTCGATGTCGATGTGTGTGTGTCTCTGTGTGTGCGTGTGTCCTCCAGGCGATTGTGCTGAGGGCATCAGAAAGTACGTGGAGAGCCATGGGACGTCGATATGGCACCACGTAGGCTCGACGTCCATCGGCACAGTGGTGGACGCCGCCTTCAAGCTCATCGGCATCGAACAGCTCTACATTGTCGACGCCGGATGCATTCCACAGGTTTGGTGGGTGAATGAGTGCACCTTCTCCCCATCTCCCTGGCTGGTATGGTGTCACAGGTGGGTCGGATGAACCCGGCGTCGACTGTCATGGCCATGGGGCGCTTTGCGGGTCTGATGGCCAAGCTGGCGGATGGCGCCGCCGGCAACGACACGACCATTATCGCCCAAGCACGTGACGACCCCATAGTCACCGACGAGACCGAATGTGAGAAGCCGCCATGCTCTATGGGGGTCCCTGAGACACAGCAAGAAGACAGCCTCAGGACGGAACAGCCGACCTAGAAGAGGACACACAGAGGGGGGAGGGGGGGAGGGATCGCATGCTCCGATATGACAGGAGAGAGATGGTCTAGTGGGTTGCCGGGTGATGTGGCGTGTAGGGCGTGGCGTGTAGGGGGACAGGGAGGGCAGGGCAGATCTATCAATTTTGTCAGTCACATGAGTGAATTGGATGATACGTGTCTTGTTTTAGTACGTCCATGGGTGTTTTCGTGCGACGTGCAGCTACTTTGTTTCGGGGCAATGCTGCATGTCATGTCTCCTAAGGTAGCATGTTCTCCATGTGTTTCGTCAGCCAGCCAGCGGTGCGGCTTGGGTCGTGCTCGTCGCTTCCCACGTGTGTGGTTTCATCCGTCCGTCAGTCGCCTTTGCGTGTGCGCGTCACCGTGTTGGCGAAGGGCAAGAGGCCTTCCTTTCTGTCCATCTGTCTGTCTGCTTCAGCAAGTGGTGCTGGTTGCTCAGCACACTGCCTGTCTGTGGTGTCGTGTGTGTGCGTGTGCGTGAGAGATCGATTTATCAGACGGCCCCGATGCGGTGCACTCACACAGGTATGGCTTCATTCAAACCGCATCGCACGCACAGACAGTGAGTGGTCCACAGGTCCATAAGAGGTCATCATCGGATCACGCACACGCACCGCCATCGTTCATCTGTACAGACAGACACAACGCACGTACTTCAGCACACTTGCAGGCAGGCACACGAACACAGAAGCACGCAGCGGATGTTCACCACGAGCCACCGATGGCCGGATGCGTGTGGGATTCGGCCGCCAGCAACCCACGCTTTGTGCTCTGCATGATGCCACACCGAGCCTAAGGCGTTGGCCGTGACGGGCCGACCCCACATCGCCCCAGGCCCATGGCTAGACGAACACGCTTCACACACACGCCAGCTCGCTTTTTCACATGTGATTAGACAGGTTTCTGACTTCGCTTGCCCCGCCGCCCCGCCACATAAAACATCGACAGCGGCCCGCCGCGCGGCGCGCGCACACGTCACGAGCGAATCGCTGCCTACATTTTATATGGAGGCACGGCCGACACACCAACCACATCAATTACAACCAGGGCAAAACAGCCGGACGCAGTCCCGTCACAGCCATCGAGAACCGGGGCAATAAGAGAGGGAAGCATGCAAGTACGTCGTTGGTTGCACCATCCATTTCTCCGTGCCCATCGTTCCTTGTCTCTTGTCTCCTCCCTACTCGCTTGCATGACCTGCCCACCGACAATGTGCGAGAGCAGCGACTTGGCGCCCCTTTCTCAGTTCGCCGGGCGACTGGTCCTGGAAGCGAGACAGAGAGAAACAGAAGGCAACAAGATGACCAGAACTCGTATACAAACAGCCTTCCACCATGCCACAGCACACCCGTAAGCCAACACCCACGAAGCTCGCGAACGGACAGCCCGATTGATTAGACAGGTTTCTGACTTGGCTCGCCAAGCCGCCCCGCCACATAGAATATAGACAGCGGCCCGCCGCGCGACGCGCGCACACGCCACGAGCGAATCGCTGCCTACATTTTATATGGAGACACGGCCGACAGAGCCAACCACATTAAGACACACAAGGGGCAAAACAGCCGGACGCCATCCCGTCCCATCCATCCCTGCTGCTCGCTTCCCGCACGTACCGACCAACGTCGTGAGAAAGCAGCCTCTTGACATCTTCCTCACTGCGTTGGCCGACGGTCTGTCAGCGAGACACAGAGGGCACGGCAAGACGGCCAGAAATCACGTGGAAAACAACCTTCCCACTCAGCACACCCGCGTAGCCGCCACCCCCGAAGCTCGCGAAAAGACAGCCAGGCCACACGGGAAAGAAAAAATAACACTGCAAGCTTAAGCAAACTGTACAGCCAGCCACGCCACACGCATCAGCATGTACCGTACCGTACCCCGCCCCGCCCCATTAGTCACTCAATCGTTATGGATGGCCGTTGGTGAGCGGCCTCTCTGCCGCAGCAGCTGGGGCGGCAGCAGCTGGGGCCGCCGGGACCGGTGGGTCCTCTGAGGTCATGACGGCGTCGCCATCCTTGCCAGTGTCGGCTGCGAGGTCGCCGGGTGGCGGTGAGGGGGTCCAGCGGTCGGGGCCGTCACGCGGCGGCTCGCAGCGGTCACGCTCGTCGGACCTGAGAACGGCCAGCATACCACAAACACGCAGTCTTGCTCTGCTGCAGTGTGCTGCAGGGCCGGTCTGCCTTTCTTGCTGTGGCATACCTGTCCCGGCTGTCACGGTCGTCGTCATAGCGGTCCCGGTCGTCCCTCCGCCTGCGATAGTCGTCGTCGCGGCTCCTGCTCCTGGAGGGCGAGTGGGAGCGTCTGCTGCGGCTCCTCTTGGAACGCTTGTCCTTCCGACGGCGGTCGCGACGGTGACGCTTGCGATCACGGTCACGATCACGGGACTGAAACACACCAGTGTCGACAGGGGGAAATGGGAAATGGGAGATGTGTTGTGAGGGGTGGCTTTGTATGTGTCGTACCTCGTCTGATGAGTCGCTCTCGTCGGCGGCGGAGTCACGCCTGCGCTTGCGGCGGAAACGACGCTGATGGACGAACAAGACACACCAGACACGCACGATAGAGGTGAGAACAAACCACTCGTGTGTGCGTGTGCATGAGCGCCTTACCTCATCGTCGGACTGGTCTGAATCCGAGCTGTCGCTGCTGCTGCTGCTGCTGGACGACGAGTCGCTGCTGTCGCTGTCACTGTCGCGGCCCCTCTTGGACTTCTTGCGTCGCTTCTTGTCCTTCTTGCGCCGCTTTTTCTTGTCCTTGATCACCCTGCAGGCATTCACGTCCCGTGTGCATGTTCAGGGTGTGCGGCGACCCGGCCATTGATAGGCGACACGAAGAGGCGGGCAACCAGACAGGGAGCGGAGAAGGGAGACAAAACAACACAAGGCACAGACAGCAACGACGCGTGAAAGCACTGTCCGGGAGGGGGTGTGGGTGTGTGGGGTGTGCAAGCCTACCTTCCCTCCTTGTGAAGTTTCTTCCGCTGCTTGTCGAGCTCCTGGTGCCAGTAGGACGACTCGCGGTTGGCCTCCTCGCGGCGCTGGAAACGCTCGAGCTTCTTGCCTATGATGTCATTGTACCTGACGCACACACAGACACACACGCAAACATAGTGATGATGGCCACTGGGGGATATGGGTGGGTGCGAGGGTGGTGGTATCTTACAGGCTGTCAAGGGCCTCTTTGGGGTTCTGCACCTTCTTGACAATGTCTCCCGCCATGCCGTTGCGATGCTTACGACACGGCATCTTCAACTGAACGTCACACATGTCAGACACAGAGTCACGACACACAGTACAGTGAGACATGACCTCTCGAAACGACCAACACCCTCCCCAGCCCACATGTGGCCTCTCTACCACCCACATGCGCCACCCACCTTGCAGTTGGGGCAGTCCAACGCCCCTTCGCGGTCACGACGCGGCATCTCACACACGACCGTTCTGTCCCACGCCGGTTCGAGCCTCCGGGGAGAGAAGAACCCTTCTCGCCGGCAGTTATGGCCTCTCAGGCGCTTTCACGCCTCAGGCGAGGCCTGTAGTTGCTCGAACACTGCTGGGCGACAGAAATGACGTCGGAGTGACGCGCCGACAACGAAGACAGCAGGAATGTTGCCGCCTACAACGACGGGACGTTGAAAGGCGACGAGAGAGAGGGAAAGAGCAAAACGACTAGACAAAAACACGCGGCTTAGCTCGCACAATTGCTCGCACGAGGTTTCGCGACATTCCTTAGGGCGCACAGCTTCAGGGCTTAGTTGGAGGCGATGGCGAGCCCTTCTCCCCACAGCCCGCTTGTCTTGGCGCCCGTCGAGGTGAGGGACCGCATTCTGAACCTCCTGGCATCGATTGACCTCCGCAAAGCAGCCTGCGCATCGCGAACGCTCGACCCCACTGATGCGGTCGTCCAGATCCTGCAGCGTGTGTGGGATGGCTATCCGGCTACGCCAGCCGCCCTGCAGAGCGCTCTCTACCATGGCGAGGCTCCTGCTGCATTTCTGATGTTTGTCGAGCGACAGAATGAGCCCACCAACATGGTTGCAGCAAGGAACGGGCTGCTGGTGGCTGGAGGTGGTCCACAAGGTGAGGGCCCCCGCCGTCCGGTGAGGGTCCCATCGTGTTCGTCCTCTGACGAGCCACCTATCCCCCAGCCGATGCGCGAAGCGCACTCGCTGCAGGGGGGCAGCTGCTTGTGGTGGGCGGGGGCCGTGCAGCTGCAGTCGAAAGCGTCCTCTGCCCAGGACGACTCGGCTGTGATGGCGTTTTGTGCTGGTGGGGAGTCCGATGCCTCAGGCAGCCACGGTGCGAGCGGGTCGTCGACATTGCAGATCAATCGACGCATCGCTGTCGAGGTGTGTGTGTACACATGAGCTGAGCAAGCACATAACATACGGTTGGTTTGCCCATGTGTGTGTGTGTGTGTGTTTCATTCAGGCCCCCCCGTATTTGCCCTCTCCCTCTCCCCCCGCGCCCCGCAAGCTTCCCTCCCCTTCGCCTTCGCCCGCAGGCCAGTCGTCATCCCCACTCGGCGGCACCTTCACCCCAGCAGCCGCCAGTGAGGGCCGCCTCTCGCACCTGAGACCCCCGTTTCTGCGCGAACAGCTGGTCGGCCGGCGGTCCTATCCCCTACCGGGGCAAAAGCTGTTGCCGTACCAGATCCCGGAACACTGCGATGTGCGAGAGGACGGAGAGGGGGCCAGAGAGAGAGGGCCAGCTGCCAGGGAGGGCTACGTGCCGTCGGTGTCGTTCACTTCTGAGGCGTCCCAGAGCGTGTCGACTGGGTCGGTGTGTGCGTCCACTTCGCATCGGCTGAAGCCGCTGCCCCTGTCTTTGCCTGCGGACACGATTGACGGGCTGTGCGTGACGGAGCGACAGGTCTACAGGTACGTACGTGTACGTGATGTGGAGGGGTGCATCGTGGGTGGCCAGCCCCAGCATCCTTCCTTGCCTTCAGAGGCGGTCCTCTCCGCTTGACGATCCTGCTGTCGTCGCCAATGGGTCGGCTGGCAATGGCGGCCTTCTCAGAGCGCCGGTCGATTGCCGGCGTCGCGAGCGGAGACGACGTCAGCGAGGCCGGCGACCTGCAGGGCCCCGAAAGTGTCGACGATGTGTCGCGGACCAGGATGGGCCTCAGGATACACAGCAACCTCTCGCATGGCCGGGGTGGCAGGGGGCTGCGGATGTGCCAGAACTCCATGCTCGTGAGAAGCGTCTTCCCCGATCTCGCCATCAAGCAGGTGGGTGTCAGTCAGCACCTATCAAATCAATCCACACACAACAACCACACACACAGAAGCACACGAACGAACGTGTATTCTGTGTGTCATGCATTGCAGGTGGTGTATGCTTCTCACGGGCACTGGCTGCAGCTTCTCACGCAAGGCGGCCGTGTTGGTGTGCTTGCCCTCCCGCCGCAGGGCGGTTTGGAGGGCCGGGGGAGGGGCGACAGCATCGAGTGGCTCAGCCTTGACAAGGTGTGCAAGGGCGCTCGCATTGTGGAGATTGCCTGCGGGGCGACACACAACGTCATGCGAGACGACCGTGGCAGAGTGTACAGGTGAGTCCGGGCGCTGCGCAGTGGGGGCACCACTTCCTTGGATTGTCTGAGAAATGGACGTGAGGTTGTGTCTTGGCCTGAGCCTTGTGCGTGTGCAGCCACGGCAACAACACTCACGGGCAACTGGGCCTCGGCCACCTGGTCTCCCAGACGGCCCCGCAGCAGGTCACCACGTCGCTCTCACGCGCCCGCATCGTGGCCATCTCTGCCGGCAGCGACCACACCGCCGCGCTGTCAGACGACGGCAGGGTGTGGGTGTGGGGGGCCAACTGGGCCATCAACGGGTCTTTCGGCCAGGCCACCACACCCCTGCAACTCGCCTTCCCCCCCTCCCTCCCGCCGAGATCGATATGCGCCGTCAGCTGCGGCAGGTTCCACACTCTCTTCCTGACCCGATACGGCACCGTGTACTCACTGGGCAGCAACCTGGAGGGCCAGACGGGGGTGGGGATGGGCAGTGGGGGGGTGCGGAGCGCAAAGCGATTCGTGCAGGAGCCGACGTTGGTTGTGAGTTTGCGTGAGATGCGTGTGCGTGTGATCGCTGTGGCGGGGGGTCCTGCGTACAGCGTGTTTGTGGATCAGTGGAGGGACGTGTGGTGGACCGGCGAGGCGCCCTGGGGGGAGAGCGCCACTGTGCCGAGGCGATTGCTGAGGGAGGGGGGGTGAGGTGAGGTTTCATGGGAGATGAGATGAGGGGAGAGGAGGGGAGGGGGGCATTTGCTTGTCTGTGTGTAGTGTAGTTCACTTAGCAGCTGACACAGATGCGGCGGTGTTGCCTCTTGACGTTTGATTTGCGCCTCTGACGCCGTAGGAGAAGCCAAGTCACGTGGCTTTGCCTGCTGCGTCAGAAGGTGCCGGACAGCGTCAGAGGCGAAATCTGCTCAGCAGAGTCAGTGGGCATGGGATGCCCTAGGGCAAGATACATGTCCAATGAACGGCAGTACTGAGACGCATCTGTCGGTCTTCGCACTTGGTGGTCGATCGTTTTTGTTATCCAACACGCACTCCTACTGGCACGGCACACGTCACTGTGTGCCCTGTCCTCACACACTGCCACTTCCAGCCATTCAAAAATACGCATTCACGCACACACACACACCCCACCCACGCCAGCAGACATACACAGACACGGGAGACAGACAGAGCCACATGCAATAAAAGACCATCCATCCATCCATCCGCTCCATGCATCCTCTCAGCATATTGAGGAAACAAATGCAGCAGCACGCAATACAAACACACACACACACATACAGACAGACCAATAGGAAAACAAGACACGTGCACCACACCAACAACACACGAGCGGGAGCCGATGTGTCAGAGGTCAGCTAGCAGAGGGCGAATGCTTGTGCGACGTTGACGGGATTGTGGTCGGGAAAAGCCCCTCGGTGGAAGATGATCTCGGACGCCAGGTCCAGCACGTTGCCGCCCATCTCCATGGCTGCACACAGGCCTGCGCGACATGCCACGACACCCACACATCCTCGTGCTGGTGCGGCTTCTCTCTCACTCTCTCTCTCTCTGTGTGCGTGTGTGTCTGTGTGTCATCCACCTTGTGTGAGTCCTTCAGGAGTGGGCAGCCCAACTCTGGCGAGGTGCCTAGGTGGCAGCAGCAGGATGGTGCGGCCGGCAGGACACAAGACGTTGCTCTGGTCGTCGTACAGAGACCGCAGAGCCGTCAATGCCATCCTGACATCACACACACACACACACACATATGGAGAGATGCGTGTGCGGATGCGAAGAATGGCGTCCTCCCGTCCCTACTTGAGTTGTCTGTCCCAGAACATTTTCGTCTCTCTGTCGACGAGGGGCGAGAGGTTCTTTTTGGCAGCCACCAGCTTGAGCACCTGGGTGGTCGTCAGAGTCGACAGCGGGTAGCTGGCAGGCAGCCTACCAATGCCCGAGGTGACCTCGTCTGGTGGGAATCCCCTCCTCTGGCTGTCAGGCTGCACGATAGGCTCGTCCGCTAGGACAGTGTCGTGGTGGTCGTCGGCAGTGTGCCGCAGCGAGTCGGTGTCGATGTGCGACGGCGGGGGGAAGTCGCCCGACGTCGAGTGAGACGATGACGACGACTGGTGGGGGGAACGACGTACGTGACGGCCGGGGCGGTCTGATCAATGATGCACACGCACAGACACAGACACACATAGACACAGAGAGAGAGACTCAGGGGAGGGCTGTGCCTGGTGTGTGGACTCACTCACCCCTTCTCCCCTCAGTCTCAGTGCCCTTGGCGAGGTGCAGCAGGACTTTGCGCATGTTGTGGATGCTCCCGACGGAGGCACGGCTGACGGCGTCGCGCGCGAAGACCACACTCGTGATGACCCGCTTGCAGGCCAAAGCCAGCTCGGCTGTCACGATGCAGGGGGCGCCGAAGGAGAAGCAATGCAGCCGCGGCGACAGGGTGGGGTCCTCTATCCACTTGAGAGCGAGTAGGCTGGCCACGCCGCCGCCCATAGAGTGGCCCTGCAGTGAGAAGACGACAATGCACTGGGGAGGGGGGAGGGGGGGGGGTCTGTGGCTGGTATCTATGACCTGTAGGATGATCTTGTAGTTGGGGTACATGTTGGCGAGTCTTGTGAACGGTTCCCTCAGGTGTGTGTCGAACCACTGTGCCGAGGTGACCATGCCGCTGTGCTGGCCTTCCTCGATCTGGCAGCACAGGTCGGTCAGGCAGTCGCTCACACTCAACGTGCCGCGGAATGTCAGCTGACCAACCAGACAGACAGCGAGGCAGCGACACATCCAGACGTCCGTCTGGCTGGGCCTATGTGTGGCCTGCCTTCTGTAGTGATGTTCTGTGCACTCACACACCGCGATTTCCTCAGTGTCGTGGTCGACGGTCGTGAAGTATATCGGCCGATAAGCACTCGACACCCACGAGCTGAGCGACACATCCTGACACACACACACACACACACGCATGTATATAATGATCGTCCCCCGGCGCCGCCTCACACACATACCTTCTGGATTGGTCTGGTGATTGCCGGGGCAGAGGGGCTGGGCTTCGGGAGAGCCGCCGGCGCGTGTTGTTGCGGCGACACAGGCACCTCGTCGGTGGTGTGTATGTGTGTGTGCGGCTCGGCAAGCTCGGGGTTGCTGGCGGCACCGGCCATGTGTGTCTGCGTCGGTGGCGTCTCTGCTGTCGGGACCTCACGAAGAATGGCCTCCCGCGGCAGGCCTGTGAGCATCTCAAAGAATTCCTCCTGACTGCGCGCCTTGACACACAGAAAGAACGGCACACCGAGACAGGGGGG